TTCTTTTAAAATAATTCTTTTAAAATAATTCTTTTAAAATAATTCTTCCTGCGTCGAGATATTTATGTGGATTCCGATGAGGACAGTTGGTCGACGACGTCGCTGGTATTACTTAAACGTTTCCGTGCACGTAAACCATTAGCCTGTAACGAAATTTCTTTCTTCAGGCTCCTCTCTCTCTCTCTCTCTCTCCGTAGATCGATGCGTCGCGTCTATAGGAGCTTCGTTCTATAAAAGCACGTAGGTTCGTACCACCCTCTTCCTGTTCCTCGTTTCACCCTCTACGCGCTGCACCACCTCAACTTCCGCCCGCCTCTATCCTCCCACAGCTTCAATACCTTCGCTGAAACATTTCAGTCCGTTCCGGGCATCCACCCGGCTCGGTGCTCCACATCTTTCGACTTCTCTCTCGACTTCGCATTATCGGCTTGCCTTCCCAACGTGAGAAGTACACGTGAATTTCCTATAATTTTTAACTGTGTTTGAATAATCTTCCGAGATTTATAGATTTATGCTTTCTTTTTCCTAGAAATTTTGTTCGAGCTTTGTTTCTATCATTGTCTGATTGATGTGTTTTTGATGTGTGATTGAACGTTTTGAATTATAGATATCTTTTCAACAGTTATTTTAGTGTATCTTATTCTCGTGTATCTCTTTAATTCTATAATTCTTTTTTTTTTTAATTTTTAGTTATAACTGTTATTTTTAGTTATTTTAGTTGTAACTTAGTCATATTTATTTATAATTTAATTTAGTTATAATTTAGTTTATATTTATAACTTAATTTTTAGTTAGTTATTTTAGTCATAACTTAATTTTTAATTACTTTAGGTTTTACTATATTAATGAAAATAATAATATTCAGTAATTCGAAAAATGCGTTCTTCTTTCTTTATTCTTTCTTTATTCTTTTCGTTATTTTTTTTATTTTAGATTTATTAGAGATAGAAAATAGCGATTTCCAATCAATTAAATCAATTATGATCACTTCTCGTACATCATGTTTTTCTTCACAAAATTTTCCATTGAATTTTTATTTTCGTTGTTCTGTTTCATGTGTTTTATGTGATGGATTGTTTTGATTGTTTAGTTATTTCTAAAGTTCTGCGATTTGTAGATGATATCAATAAAAAGAATTGAGATAGAAATTATTTAATAGAATATTATTTTGTTGAAAAGAAAAAAATTACATATAAAACTGTTCTTCTGTTCTGTACACAGATAATGATAATATTAATTTTGATAATATAATAATGATAATATTGATTATATATTAATAATGATAATATTAATTCTACTATTAATTTTACTAATTTTAATATTAATTTTGAACAGAAAGCTTGATAAAAGGTTGAATTCTTTTTTTTTTGGTAAAAAGTTTTTCTGAATGAAATGTAGAAATAAATTTGCACGATTTTCTTAAAGTAGGTTGAATGACGAAACTGATCAATTTCTCAACAGATAGCATCGGTCAAGCAGGAATAAACATGCTAGAGGACGTATTCTAGAGCCAGTATTTCATTAACCTAAAAGATAAAAGAAATCGTTGTTTTATTGGAAACCCTCGCCTTTTCTTTTTTTCTTTTTTTTTTTTTTTTT